ACGGGTTTATTGTAGAAGGTTGGTGGAGTTTGAAAAATTTATTCTTAGCACATATACCCGTGACCACACATGTGGTTTGAGACATATTTCAGGTAAGCATCGACAAGCCTCCGCTAATGTTATTGGACATTTGTCAAAATCAGTTCGTTAAAGGGAAAGGTCCATCTCCTAAAGACATTTAGAGACTTGTGCGCATAGAGTTGGGATATGCTGTTAGTTACTAGAAATGCTAGAAAGGGAAACAACATGCACAAGAATTTGTGAGGGGCACGTCGGAGCATGGGTACGTAGTATTAGAAGTGTACCGTTATATGCTTAAGCTGACAAACCAAGGTAGGAAGACGACTTTGAAGTGGGATAGGAATATGATGTTTAAATATTTTTTTGTTGCTTACGGTTATGCTATAAGGGGTTTTGTAAACATGAGAAAGGTGTTGGCTGTTGATGGTTGCTTTCTGACAGGAAAGTATGGAGGTACATTGTTGGTGGCCACTGCATAGGAGAGCGAGAATCACACATATCCTGTTGCATGGTATATGGTTGACTCTGAAAATGACAAGTCATGGACTTGGTTTTTTCAGCAATTACGTACGATAGTGCCTGACAGTGACGAGTTGTGCATAATATCTGATAGGCACAACTCTATAAGGAAGGGGATTGCCACTATTTACCCTCAAGCACATCACGGATTCTGTATGAGGCACCTTGGTGAGAACATAAAACAAAAGTTTAATTGTACTGACCTCCTTTAGACATACTACATGGCAGCAAAAGCTTATCGTTGATAAGTTCGAGGAGCACTTCCAGCAAATCTGAATCAAGGATGATAGAGTTGCTAAGTATCTTGAGCATGATGCTGGTTTCGAGCGATGGAGTAAAGCTTACTTTCCTGGAAGAAGGTTTGATGTCATGACCACAAAAATAAAAAAGTCAATAAATTCGAAGTTGTTAATAGAAAGAGAGTTTCCAATAGTTGCACTTTTTGATGCAATCCAGAGGACATTGTCACGGTGGTTCCATAAGCGTCGTACGGAGTCAGATAATTTTACTACAACCCTTGTTCCGTCAACTGAAAAATTTCAATGCTAACTGCAAACTTATATTACTAGAGCATTAAACATTTCCAATGCTTCCAAAAATACCATCTTGCAAAGCCATTAATGAAAATGCTATATGTCCAAGAATTAGGAAAAACATTTAAGTCGCATCTCACCAACTAATCTGGATCTTTTCACCTTGCTAAGAAAAAAGCCAGTTAACAAGGTGTTAATGTAATCAAATAGGCACTTCCTTCTAAATCATCTCTCGATAAAGACTAAGAGCTTCATTGACTTCTATTCTTGCAATACCAATTGATTAAAGTAGTTAGCAAACAACATCAGGTTCATACCCTCTTTTAGTATAGAATCACAACTCCTGCATCCCAATTCTATCGCCAAGCAATAACCGTTTAAAATGGTGAAGTATAAATGTAGGAACCAACTCTCTGAATCATAGTTCCAAAATGTTGTCTAGCCTTCTCAACCAATCCACCTTACAAAGACCATCAATTATATACTATAAGTACAACATTGGCCTACAAATAACACCAGATTCTTTATTCCATTAACCATCTCTTCAAGCAACTTAATGGCAACACTTATTTCTCTGTTTTACAAATACACAATCAAAGTGTTGCAAGTGATCACATTAGCCCAACAACAACAATATTTCTTAAACAATTCCATTGATTCCATAATCTTTCTCTCTACACACAGACCTTTAATCAAAAAATTAAAAGTCAGGCATTTGGCAAAACCCTTCTTCAAAATCCCCCCCAAAACCGCAAAACTATCCAAAACCCTTCAATTACACAAGCAATTCATCAAAACAATCAAAGATCTTAAATCAGGAGACAACCAGTTGAATTCAACAGCTTATATAGCAAATCACTTCATATGATGCTTCTTCTTAGCTAGTGCACTAAACAAAGTAGTGAATGATGAAATGGAGAAAGGGGTTTCATATTAATCAGTATAAAAAAAAGTACAATGCTTCATTCAGAGTAAGCTACCTGATCACAATTTTCTTCGAGGAATTAGCAAGTGAGGATCGTTCAAGGGGTTTTTTGAAAGAATAGAAACTCATTTTTGGAGCTTGAAGATGTGAGGTTGTGTAAGTGAGCTAACAAAAATAAAACTTAACTCGAAGATGGGTTTTGAGAGATTGAAGACGAACGAAATAGGGATCTGAATCTCAAACCATAGAAGAGTGGTTTGTGGGTTTTTTCCGAAGTAAGGTCATTGCAAAAGGCAAATGCATTAAAGAGAAATGTTTTGACAAATTTCACAAACAAACCTTTAAGGTTTTCAAATTGCAAACTTATGTAGATCCATTTTCCTATTCAAACCACCTTTATGATTTCGAAAATGTACTTGAGTTAAAAATGTAATCCACTAGGTGTTTTTCGTTTGAGGTGGTTTTCTACTAAATCCAAAATATCAGTTGATCAAAAAAAACCAATTTATATAAGTATTCAATTTTACCTTTTTTTTTAATAAATTATAAGATTTAATAAAGCTAGAACTTTGTATTATTTTACAATGATATATAAATTTTTTTTATTTGTTCTTCTAACTTTCAATATACCAAAATCTCATATTATTTACTAAACGTATGAAACATTCCACTTCTTCGAACACCTTTTCTTGCAAAGTCGATCAATTGCAAAATGCAAAGTTAACAATTGTGTATTTATAATCACATTAGGCCTAATTCCTTCTAAATCTTCTTTGATAAACTAAGAACTTCGTTGACTTCTTTATTCTTGCAATACTATCTTGATTAAAGTATTGTAGCAACAACATTAGGTCATACCCTTTCTATAAAACTTCTTCATTTTAAGATAGTTTTTATGTTGTTTATTAGAGTGCATACAAGGAGCGAAGTCGGATTTGAGTTCATTAGAGATACATTTCCAATAATATGGAATCATTAGAAAGAAGAAAAATTTATAGCTATAAGAATTTTCTATTCTAATTTTTCAACGCATCATATTCTGCGAGAGAATTAATGAAATATGAGATAGAATCTTGAACTTTTCTCTCAATGTTTTACATGCTAATTCTTTCATTAATTTCTCTTATTCAATGTAGTGATGGATCATTAGTATTTATTTAACATTCTTGTTTTATTGATTAAATTTCTATCTTTCTCTTGTTTTATGTTATCTATGACACAATTTAATATTATAGAATTGATATATTAATTTAATAATTTTATGTAGATACAATTAGCCAAGTATTTCAAGGGAATCCATGAATTTTATGTTACAATTTTATCAGTGTTTGCTATTATTAAAATTTTCTTAGTCAATCGAAACAACTACTTTTATAACTTCAATAATGCTTTATCAAAATACTATTAATTTAATCTCTTTATAAAATATTATTTAAGTGCAAACATTAACTTTAAGCATGCATAAACTGATTACTTAATTAAAAGCAAGAAAGACCACCAGAAATTGAAATTATAACGAAATTTCAACAACAATTTTGTTGATAAACAACTTGACTAAAAGCTTAAGCTAAAAGGATTAAGCTTGTAAGAGGCATCTTCGTGTTAATAAACCAAGCCAAATTCAGACAGAAAAGACCAACCCAAATATAGCAGGATGAATACATGGAGATTCAAATCATGACCTCTACTTTAATATCTGTTGTGTGTGATTTGGGGGATTTTACTAAAAGGCAATTTTAAGTTAAAATTAATAAAAGGATATAGTTTGTTAAATGTTAACTAAATGGCTATTTTTTATTAAGCTTAATTAAACATGATTAGGGGTATAGGATTAATGAATGATTGTGTAATCTTTTAAAAATTAGATATGTCCCCAAAGAGTTGAAATTCTTGTAAACAAACCCAAACACATTCTTCTTCTTCTCTGCCAGATTAATGCATCCTCCGCCATTAACATCTTTCCAACACAGACCTCCTCCTCCTCCTCTTCCTCCTCCTGACATTTCATCTAGGTATGTGTATCTCTGAGTCTCCTAAGCATATCACTTGCTATCAAAATGAAGAAATATGCTCTTAGACAGTTAAGACTCTTTATACTTAGAAAATTAAGCAATTTTACCATAATTATGGAATTCAACCCTTCAGCAGGTTTATTTGAGACTGCGTAATCGTCCCTGGCAAGGACATTCATCTTAAAAGCAAAAGCGTAAGAACTAAATGATTTACTGATAGCATGAAAGGAAGTAATAAAATATAAGTTTCAGTAAGCACCCTTGAGAAATTTGATCAAAAAGAATGGACTGCATTTAGCAGTTTCTATCTCCCCGAAATATTAGCCATGCTGATCTCCCAGTCTCATTAAAATTAGTTTCTTAGGGCTAATTTCTGTGGTACAGTCCACATTATGCGTACATATGTTGAAGTTTAAAGGCCAGGCAATGTTAAATAAGGATTTGACTGTAAGACTGATGTGCACATGGAAGGTCTAGTGGATAGCTTTCCCTTTTTGATTTGAAGCATAACGCACAAAGAACATTGAAAAATAATGAATGAGAGAAAGAGAGAAAGAGAGTCATACCCTTGACTTTCCGGTGAACTTGTCTTGCAGAATTCGAATAGATTAAACCATAGCAACATTGCTACAGAATTTTTTCAGATCTTCAGAAGTTGCCTGAAAAAAATTTAAAAACATAAGAATTATCTCTCTGTATTTGCCTATCCAGCATTACTACCTTTAGGATAAAAAGAAATTTATCCTAAAGGCAGTAACCTAATGATGCAGCACGTAAAGGAAAGATGCAAATGGGTATTTAGTCCTTATCTTCTACATTTTAGGGTCGAGTATTTGAGTCCTTGGTATCCCTTTCTTGATTTCTCCTCTTAACCTATTAATTTCTCTCTATCACCCTATATAGAATCCTATCTATGATATTCTTCTCCCCCTCCATCACCTAAGGGGCAAAAATATTATCAACTAGACATTATAACTACAGGAGTTTTGTCCAACATTTCACAACATCAAGAATCTACTAGAAAATGGTTAAACGGTACATCCACCAAAAAAAATAAATGAACTGACAAAACAGATGATGAAATGAAATCTATACAGATTTGAGATAGATTTAGATCTAAAAAACACAAACTCATACCTTAGTTAACAGCCTATTAACTAAGCTATAAGATAACAGCTTTAAATAAACTTAGGGGTTCTTACACGAGTGCATTTTCAGACCATGCTGCTTCATAGATTTCAATGGCAATTTGAAATCCCATATCGACCAAATCCCCACGATCATCGTTACAGCAACTGCATATGAAACACCAGACCATATTTTTCTCGACTACAATGTTGTCATTTTAACTGTTCCAACAGGTAGATCCCATTGACCGGCCCCTGTTGTGCATCCATATTCTTTAAGATATTCTAGGGAAAAACCTTCTCTAATGCTCTTTTTGCTTTGTCTTCATCAACTATCGCTGAAAGAGCACATGCTCGTGCATAACTACATTAGAGACACACCTGGTAAGTTCTAGTCTTATCAGATCTGAACTAAAAAAGAATATATATTGAGAAACAGAAACATGTGAAACACTATAAATAAATCAAGATTTATCAGGCCTGGATAATTGAGAATATCAATGAATGAAGTTAATCAGTTGCAACATACCATTGTCCAGTAAACTGATTAGCTTGAATAGATGAACTTGAGCGGCTACCATTATTGTCGTAGTTGAAGTAAGAACCATTCCACAATTCCTCATATACAACTTTTGCTTACTGAAATTTACACCAAAAATAATCCTCAAACCCTTAAGATCTACTACATGTGCAAATCCAAACGCAACCTGCAATGCTGCCACCTCCAATATATGTACTTACAACAGAGACAGATCACGTATCGTATGTTTGATCAGGAAAGCTATCATTCTCAATCATCCCCATCACCATCCCCATCAAATTCGAACAGACAAAAGTGTTTACTAAACCTTCTGCTTACCGTAACCAATATAGAGCATTTGGGCAGCTGGATGAACTTTTGCAGGATTCTGCTCCGAAAAAAAGTTTAATACTCACTAAAGTTTTATCACGTAAACTTCAATTTCGCTTTTGGACCGGAAATTGAGGAAGCTCGTTCAAACATTCACTATAATTTTCGGCCTTCATTAGTAATTGCATGACTAAGGACATTGTACATTCAGTCGGCTCCACATTTCTCTCCACCATCTTATGAAGGAGTTCAACAACTTTTGGTATCTCATTATTCTTGAGGAAACCAAACATAAGCATATTAAATGTGACTACATCTGGAGCACAACCATTTTCCTCCATATATGACAACAACTCATTTGCCATTTCTAGTTGTCCATTTTTACACAGCCCATTGATCAAAATGTTATATGTTACAATGTCTGGCACCAGGTTTCCATGAAGAGAAAATTTCTGAAATAGGTCCCAAGCAGTTCCCAACCTCTTTGTTTTACATAATCCATCAATGAGGGAACTCAAACCTACAATGCTAACTGCAAACTTATTATTTACTAGAGCATTAAACATTTCCAATGCTTCCAAAACACATCCGTTCTTGCAAAGTCCATTAATGAAAATGTCATATGTCCAAGAATCAGGGAAAACATCGTTAAGTCGCATCTCACCAACTAAATTCCGTGCATCTTTCACCTTTGCTATAAGAAAAAAGCCAGTTAACAAGGTGTTATATGTAATCACATTAGGCCTAATTCCTTCTGAAATCATCTCTCGATAAAGACTAAGAGCTTCATTGACTTCTTTATTCTTGCAATACCAATTGATTAAAGTATTGTAGCAAACAACATCAGGTCTATACCCCTTTCTAGTTATAGAATCAAACAACTCCTTTGCATCACCAATTCTATCGGCCAAGCAATAACCATTTATTAAAATGGCGTAAGTATAAATGTTAGAAACCACACCTCTCTGAATCATATGTTCCAACAATAGTTGTCTGGCTTTCTCAACCAATCCAGCCTTACAAAGACCATCAATTATAATACTATAAGTAACAACATTGGGCCTACAAATAACACTAGATTCTTTATTCCCATTAACCATCTCTTCAAGCAAATTAATGGCAACACTTATTTTCTCCGTTTTACACAATCCACCAATGAAAGTGTTACAAGTGATCACATTAGCCCTACAACCAACATCAATCATTTTCTTAAACAATTCCATTGATTCCATAATCTTTCTCTCTACACACAGACCTTTAATCAAACAATTAAAAGTCATGACATTTGGGCTAAAACCCTTCTTCAAAATCCCCCCAAAAACTGCAAAACTATCCGAAACCCTTTCAATATTACACAAGCAATTCATCAAAACATTCAAAGATCTTAAATTAGGAGACAACCCAGTTGAATTCAACAGCTTATATAGCGAAATCACTTCATGATGATGCTTCTTCTTAGCTAGTGCACTAAACAAAGTAGTGAATGATGAAATTGGAGAAAGGGGTTTCATATTAATCATGTAATAAAAAAATTACAATGCTTCATTCAGAGTAAAGCAACCTGATCGACAATTTTCTTCGAGGAATTTAGCAAGTGAGGATCGTTCAAGGGGTTTTTTGAAAGAATATGGAACTTCGTTTTTAGAGCTTGAAGATGTGAGGTTGTGTAGGTGAGCTAACAAAAATAAAACATTAACTTTCGAAGATGGGTTTTGAGAGATTGAAGACGAACGAAATAGGGATCTAAATCTCAAAGCCATGTATGAAGAGTGTTTTTGTGGGTCGTTTTTTCCAAAGTACGGTCATTGCAAAAGGCAAATGCATTAAAGAGAAATGTTTTGACAAATTTCACAAACTTATGTCAAGTATCCATCTTTCCTGTTCAAACCACCTTTATGATTTCGAAAATTGTTCACTTGAATGTTAAAAATGTAAATCCACGTTCAGGTGTTTTTCGGTTTGAGGTGGTTTTCTACTAAATCCAAAAGTATCCAGTTGATCAAACAAAAACCAATCTATATAAGTTTTCAATTTTACCATTTTTTTTTAATAAAATTATAAGATTTAAATAAATCATGCTATAGAACTTTGTATTTATTTTACAATGATATATAAATATTTTTTTTTTTTTTCTATTTGTTCTTCAAACTTTCAAATATACCAAAATCGATATTTCACATAATCGAACGTGATATATTAAAAATTTGGGGGATATTGTTTTTTACTTTTTACTAAAGTATGAAACATTTCCACTTCTTCCCAAACACATCTATTCTTGCAAAGTCCATTGAAAATGCTATGTGTCCAAGAATAAGGTAAAACCATTAAGTTGCATCTCACCAACTAATTTCTGTACATCTTTTACATTAGCTTTAAGAAAAAGGCAAGTTAACAAATTGTTATTTATAATCACATTAGGCCTAATTCCTTCTAAAATCTTCTCTTGATCATGAAGACTAAGAACTTCGTTGACTTCTTTGTTCTTGCAATACTATCTCATTAAAGTATTGTAGCAAACAACATTAGGTCCATATCTCTTTCTACTTAAAACTTCATTTATAAGATTAGTTTTTATGTTGCTTATTAGAGACTATTATTAGAGGTGTGCCATGAGGCAGCGAAGTCGGATTTGAAGTTCATTAGAGACTATACTTCCAATAATAGATGGAATCAATTAGAAGAGAGAACAAATTTATAGCTATAAGACTTTTTCTATTCTAATTTTTCAACGCATCATATTCTGCAAGAGAATTAATGAAATATGAGATAGAATCTTGAACTTTTCTCTCAATATTTTGACATGCTAATTCTTTCAATTAATTTCTCTTATTCAATGGATCATTATGTATTTATTTAACATTCGTTTGTTGTTTATTGATTAAATTTTCCATCCTAATCCTATGAACCACAAATTTTATGAGACAATTTTAATAATGTTTAATCATGATTCTCATAGAAGCCAAGTTAATTTCAAGGGAATCCATGAATTTTAATGTTAAACATTTATAATCAGTGTTTGCTTATTGATTAAAATTTTCTTATGTCAATCGAGAACACAACTACTTTTATAACGTCAATAATGCTTAATCGAAATGATTACTATTAATTTAATCTCCTTTATAAAAATATTATTTAAGTGCGAAACATTTAACTTTAAGCATGCATAAACTGATTACTTATATTAAAAGCAAGAAAGACCACAAGAAATTGAAATTATAAAAAAATTTCAACAACAATTTTGTTGATAAACAACTTGATCTAAAAGCTTAAGCTGAAAAAGGAATTAAGCTATGTAAGAGGCATCTTCACGTGTTACATAAACCAAGCCCAAATTCAGACAGAACGACCAACCCAAATATAGAAGGGTTTAATACATGAGAGATTCAAATCATGACCTCTACTTTAATATCTGTTGTGTGTGATTTTTTTTGTAAGCTCGAAAGTCTCGGTAGCCCGGAAATCAGTAGATCAATGTGATCTCAAGGTCATGGAATCTTGAAGTGTAACTTAGCATAACCTCGTAGCGACCATCCAATACAGTTGTTTGACAGACTAAGGGATAAGCCTTATCTCGAACATCTCGGGAGGGATAAGAACGAATCAATAACTGCGCGATCCCAGCGTACAATCACTAAAATCACGAAATCACTTTCCAAGTCTGATGGCAATCCCATATTTCTCTCTACTTCCTTTGGTGTAAACTTGTATAAACACGCCTTCCAAATATGAGAAAGGGGTTAGCAAATTCCAAATATGAGACTCATGGGCGTGAAGTTAGAAGACAAGTTGATTCCAGGAGGCGACATGGGAAAGAGCCCATGGGGGAAGAAGTTAATAATGGTCGTCGAGGGGAATCTCCCACTTAGTGACTTAGTACATAAAAGAAACGAAAAATGAAACATAATTCATAGATCACTTAAACCCTCTCAAGTAGGGGTGTTCGGTTCCCGATACCCCGCACTTTTTGAAGGAACCAAAACCGAAACCGGAAAAATCGACTATGTCGGTTCTTGGGTACCAAGAACCAGAACCTGTAACAACGGTTCCGGTTCCGGTTCCGGTTCTGGGTACCCTGAAAAATTCATGACCCCCCAAAAGTTTTTAAAATGGCAAAAAAACCCTTAAAAACATACAAATACCCCCCCACCTGGCACTTGTTAACAAAAATAAAATTACAAATTATAAATTCAAAAATTACAAACTCCATTACTTTGTAAAGGTAGATTCTCGGAAGTCAAACCAACTTACTTTAAATGTTATGAAATATAAATATAAATGTATTCACATTATTTTTTCTATAAAAGCTTTTATTAACCCCCATAATCTTTAATTTTATTTCATATTAGTCTTGGTTCCTGGTTCCTGGTTCTGGTTCCTAACTATAGGAATCGGAACCGAAACCGCACAATAACGGTTCCAAAAATTTGGAACCGGAACCTACCTATCGACGATTGGTTCTGGGTAGGAACCGGAACCAAACCCAGGGTATTCGCCGGTTCCGGTTCCAGTCGGTTCTTTTGAACACCCCTACTCTCAAGTACTGCTTAAAATTAAGGAGGAATATCACACAAATACCATGGAACAACATTTAACCCTATTCATGGGGATTATGTAAATATTCCATTCCGAAAATAGAAAGTGAAACAATTAGATCATTTTTGAAGAATGGTACTAATTCATGATCTAACATGTACAAAGAGAAAACCTCATTCTTGATTCTACGAGAAATTTTATGAAAGCATCCAATAGAGTCATGAAGAGTCTAAGTGAAACAAACATAATCATATGAGATAAGGATATTCATTCAAAACAGACAATAAAAATGTATATATGTGTGCGAAAATTTTAATCGGGTGAGCATATAGATGATATTCTTCATATTCTTCCTCATACATTTTCTAGACCAAAGACATTTTTTCACATTTTCCACAAGCATGAGATGCAAGGCCATTGTTGTTTCAGTACACAAACTCAATAGTGCTCTAATGGTCCATCTTTCTGCATTAGGATTTTCATCTATGACAAATAGTAAAATGGATTCTCCGCTAGAATTGAATCAATAGGTATAGAAAAGCAAATAAACTAACAGCTACACTGCGAGTATTCAATGTTATTTTAGACCAAGAATAGACCACCAACCCATAATAGTTTTCATGATCTTGTTGGATCCTATACCATTGGTCATTTGTCACATAAAAAGGAACTTGATCGCCATCTAATTGGCTAAAATTTCTCTGAATCTTGGGGTGAGGTATCGAGGCTATCCTCGTCACAAATTGGATGAAATATATGTTCCACAGGAAACATATTAGAACTTTACCCTTTTGAATAAAATGGGTATAAACTTTGACATATCTGAAAGAAAATTTACAAGAAGGGTACTGATATAGATTGATCTCAATAGCACATATATTTTTCGTCCTCAAACAGGTATCTTTTGTCATAATTGTGTTTACATAAACATATTAAGGCAAAACCTTACGTTTTTTACAAGAAAGAGAAGTTTGTCAATTATTGTGCTATTCTAGTTAACATGTAACATGTAACCCCAGGAACAAACCTCACTTCTTAAGAAACATTTCTCCAAACTCATTATTTGACTTCGGCTTCTCATTTTCCACTTCCCCGACTTTTGGATTTGTCGAGGGGACACCAAGTGGTCTGACGTTCCTTGGCATTGCAAATGTGCTCCTCCCCTTTAGCTGAATGCTATCACTACGTTTATTAGTAGCACAATGTGGCGCTCTAGACCCCCTGAAAGTCTGATTACTACATTGCGCTGCCATTTAACCCAAAAGAGTAAGAAAATAAAAGGTACAAGTGGGAAACACAAACATGCAAACTTCTATAGACTGCACTGCACTGCACACAAACAAACACACAGAGGTAATAACAATGATAAAACATAATTCCACTTAGCCTACCATGTTCTCCAGAGGCCCCATGACCAGTAGAATCGTTTCTCTTTTGCTTCAGATTTGATCT